CACCTCCTCATGCTAGAGAGCCGAAACCACTATTTTAAGGAACTTTAAGACCTGAAGCCGTAGAGAGCTTTACCAGAGAGTTGTTGCTTTTGGCAATTGCTGCCACAACAACTACTCTCAGTTGTCTCTGCCTCTTACAGAGAGTGAGTTCAGAAGAGGTTTTAACCTGTCAAATGAGTAGTGCTCAGAATACTCTTATGGCGCATCATTTGACGGTTTGAACAATTTTTGAAAAGATATATATACTTAATGAAAATGAATGTGACAAAAAGCCCAATTAAGAACGGCGACGAAGTGGGCAATAGTTTATAGCGCAAATTATTGCTTTTTTGGGCATTATCCGATCGCTTTAAGAAACTAACGGTATTTTTTTAGCATGACGGTTTCTGCTTCTGCCGACTTGATCTCACTGTTTTTGTTAATGAAGATGGATAAGGACTGCGATCGCAACAGCTTGCTCCTGGTTTTCACCGATGCATGCATGTATACCCCGGTAAGTAGCTGTGTTTTCTCGAATATGTATAATCTTTGCGTACATCCGGAACTCCCTTAAAAGTTGCATAACTCTGCAATCGCACAGCATTAAATTGTTGTAGAAAAAAAAATTCACCCTGAATTTTTTGATTTATTCCTTGACTATTTAGGAAGAACTGAATCTGGCACATCTACCGAATTGTACACTGCGATTTGCGTGTGTTTTGGAGGATCATCTTAGCGATTATGATCAAATCGCAAAACTCTTGGCCATCACAGGTAAGTGCACATTCATTTATTATGCGTTTTGTGCTGTGTAACAGCAGTAAAAAACGCAAATTGTCACGGGGACTGTCTGTGTGTGTTTGTGTGTGTATGCGTGTGTGTGTATCCCACATTTTGTCCTGCACTTTCAACTCGGAACCACAAAAGCTAGGCGGCTGAAATTTTGGTATAGTGTTCCCCGCCAACGGATGATGCGGCAAATTTAAATTCAACCTTCCCGTACCCGAGGATAACACGTACGGCCCCGTAAAAGTTTTTCGGGTAAAATCAGTATCTCGGAAACCACGGAAGAGAGAAAGCTGAAATTTTGTGAGCATGTTCTTCGCTCATGTGCTACCCAGAAAATTTAAATTCATCTTTCCCCTGCCAGCGGGTAACGTGTACAGCCCCGTGAAAATTTTTGATAGGTAAATTATTATCTCGGGAACCACTGAGTCTAGAAAGCTGAAATTTTATGGTAGTGACCCCCCTACCCACGCTGAAACTTGCCTATTCAAATTCAGTGTTCCCGCGCTCTGGGGCATCGCCCAGGGGCTAGTGAAAGTTTTGGCAGGTAAACTATTAACTCGGGAATCACGGAAAGATATTCACCATTCAAGGTTTCGAATTTAATTTTCATGCGCAGCTGCGTGAAATTTCTAACTGTTTTTCAGTGTTTCAACTATTTTTGCATAGACTTAAGTACAAAGCAGTGAAAATCATTAATGAGCAATCGTTCGATGGGCTGAATTGCACAAAGCGCATGATCGTACCGGCTAGTCTGGTGCGCGTTGCTAATTATTTCTCACTTTCCGGCTCTCTCCCTTCCCATGTTGTCAGTGAGAGGAGTGTGCTCGTATCTCAAGTAGTGAAAGCCGCGATGTGCGACGGAGGCCGTTGAGGCTGTGACAGAGAGGATGACTGAGCAAAAGAATGCTAGATGTTTTCCCTGCTAACAGTAAAAAACAATGAGGTGTTGATTGAAATGAGTGAAGCACACGATATCGTTGCTGCCGTTAGAACATGTTCGATTCGTTGTTCGCTTTACTTGTAGTTGTAGGACTCCTGTATTACAGAGTGGCATCACAAGAAAAGAAACTACTTGAACAGCTTTCAAAAAGTTGATGTGTTTGTATGTCTATTTGTGTGTGCGCATGTGTGTGTGTTGTGTGTGTATGTGTGTGTATGTGCGTGTGTGTATGTATGTGTATGTGCGCGTGTGTGTATGTGCGTGTGTGTATGTGTGTGTGTGCGTGTGTGTGTGTACATGTGTGTTTGCGCATGTGTGTGTGTGTGTGTGTTGTGTGTGGTGCAGGAGGCGAGTGCTAACTGAAAACAAGCAGTTCTGGACTAAAGGGCTTCCCTAGTTGCTTTCGGCTTGTGTTTGCACCCAATAAAAAGAAGATCGCTAACATCGCTTTGCCCAGTCGTTTGTTTTGGCATTTTTGTTAATTGGGATGTCTAGGCTTTTTTCACTGTGCGTTCCGGATCTCTCGCAATAGTGCAACTGTGGTATCAAGCTAGAAATGTAGTAGTTTCAAATTATGTTGGGTAAGAATCACTGTCATCTCTTAAGGAAGAATTTGATGCTGAAATTTCAGCAGATTGCTTTTACTCGAAATTATATTAAAAAAAAGCATCACCTACTTTTGTGCCATGCGCCAATTTCCGCTGGTACAAGGGATTGCTTGACTATCGGGCATGAGGGCGAGCTTCCTTCCCCGTTCCACCCCTCACACTCGCTTTCATCTATTTTCTTAGAGTTGCAGAAGCCTGTTACACTAGTACTATCACCAACCATTATACGGAGCAACGAACATTATTTTCTGTTGTTTCAGTGGAAACAGAATGTTTTTCGGGCGATTCTGATGCGAAAGAGATCGAACCGTTGCTGCCTTATTCCATATCCGATTACGATTCTCTCGAAACATATGCCAAGCGTCTTGCACAAGATCTATTCGATACGCCAGTTTATACGTTGAAATGTGGCTCACTTGAAGGATATTTCAACGTATGGCGTTTATCTAATTAAAATATATGTTAAAAAATTATTCATGATACGACTGCTGCTAATTAATCGTGGTACTTAGGCTGCAGCGTGAATTGTTGTTCGCGTAAGCATGTGTGTGTGTATGTGTGTGTGTGTGTGTGTGTGTGTGTGTGTGTGCGTGTCTGTCTGTATTTAGTGTATATGTGCGCGTATACGATTCGATTTTCGTGATGTTATTATCCTTGTATGTTTCATGCACTTGTTCTCAAAATGAAAACTGCCATGCACAAAATAACCAACGCAACCGTACGGTTTTTTCACTTTTCATCCAGCAAATATTCCAAAACAGCGTTTCAGGTTCTTCCAAACTTCTCACCAGGTGACAGCTTCCAGCTTCCTTCTCTAAATCGGCCTTGGCATTTTTGTTTGAATTCCCGGGATCAGATCTAAATTTTCCGTTAAATTGCTAACATTTTCAGTTGCACCGTGCAGTTGTGTCTAAAGCATATGCAAGTGTGGACGATGTATGCAGATTTATTTCTCAGCTGTTTGAGATTCACTGAAGTTAGGCTGGCCCTGAGGCATCCTTGTTCCAAGGCGTGGTCTTTAAATTTCAGCCCTCTGAGTTGTTTGACTGTGGAGCTAAAAAACGGTTATTTAAAAATACAAAGCATGAGGGTTTATCGGTATTCTTAATACCTCTGCGTAAACGCAAAAAAAAAAAAAAAAAAACTCACTGGAAGTTCCACTAGCTAACGTCGTGCAGTGTAAGCTCGAACTGAA